GTTGACCTGGGTAAGCCAGCAGTCATTTTAAGTCTGGTGATTTTTAGAAAGAGAGAAGAAAAAAGAAAAGCAGCAACAGCATTTGTGCAAGCCCCTTTTCCTCTCGAGGCCTCACTTTCCCCTCCCAACCTTTGTCTCTTGTTTCTTTATTTTACAGAGGCTGCAGGGCAGGGTTTCCCTCCCCCATGTTTGCCCAGGGCTTAGCACAATGGCTGACCTGTCAAGCCCCAAGTATCTAGAGGAGACCCTGAGGACTGGCCCCTGCACACACTTCCTTGTTGCTAAACCCATGTTTTGGTCTCCTCTCGTCTGCTCCGTGACTGTTGGCTTGATTTGTGCGGTGGTGAATATGTGCTGGGCTCTTTGTGCCTGCAGGAGCCGGCAGAGCACAGATCCCTGCTACAGCCCCTTGCTGTCACAAGCCCTGCTAATGGTTTCCCCATTCCCTGTTAGATGGCCCAATCTCATCTTCTGAGAAAGAAGAAATGCAGGTAGTTTGCAGTGGCAGCATAGACGCTTCAGAAATGTTTTAAAACACACACAATTTAGCACTCATTTAATCAAGTTAGATGAGGAGAGCTGGGCCAAGTCAGAGTCAAATGTTTTCCTTTCCATCTCTTTACATGTGCCCATCCATCACAAAAAAACAGTAGGGCCCACAGAGCACTACACTCTGCATTTACATGGTTGGCATGTGAAAGTGTGAGATATTTCTGACCTCGGAGGACAGCCCAGAAAAATCAGGCATCAAAGAAGCCTGGGTTCAGCCCATATACAAATCCAGAGACAGACACAGCTTGGAGTGCAAACTGTGCCATGTCCTGGAATAACAGAAATAGTGTTCCCTTTGGCAGCTAAGTAAAAACACCAAGACAGTTTGGGGGGGGGGGTGAAGAAAAACCACACACACAAAGGTAACCCCACTGATGCCAGATTCCACTACTGGCTCAAGAGTGGTCTGAAGGACAGTTTGCATGCTCAGCACAAATCCTTCCAAGAAGGGCATGCTGAAGTCTCAGAACCAGTTCAACACAAGTAAGCAGGCTAACCTCAGCTGTACTCAAAACCAACACATTTTTCTAAGTGTAAGAAGAGATGGGTCAAGCAAACATGCAGAGTTAAAGGGCCCTGGAATATTAAAATGAGGCAATGCATAATTTGGCAGGATTTTAAACATTTCTTTATAACTTAAGCAGAAAAACATATTTGTAAGCTTCACTCTAAATAAGCTGATCAGGCTTTATTTTGAGCAATAAAAATGAGATTCAAACTAGTAGTCATGCTATGGCAAAAGAGTCTTCTTAAACCCTTGTTTTAAACTCCGTGGGAGTGAAGAAAAGAGACATCGGTTAGGAGGTAAAGCCTTGACCTTCCCTCCAAGCTGTAAGCTGCCAGAAAGCACTCTGGGGGCTCTGGAATTAAGTCACCTTATGTGTTTTTTCCTCATCCCATTACAGCATTGCTTATTTTCCCCATAACACTCCTGTTTTGTAGTTGCTATGACAATTTGCAGCATTACTTATGCTGCTATACACATGCAGAGATTAGGAGACAGACTTCTTTCTTTTTCAGGATTTAATAATCTTATGCCTTGAGTAGGAAAATTAGGCTCAGTCCTGCTGGGTACCTGCACTAGTAGGCTAGTTAGATGCTCTAATCCACTCTAATTCTGATGCAGTATCATCCTCGGGCACAGATACAGCTCACAACCTACCTGTTACAGAACAGGAAGAAGCCTACGAGATGAACCAGTAACAGTAAATAGAAAGCTAGCGCACTCAAGGCTGCATTGTACTCCCCCTTCAGCGTGTGGAAGCAACTTTGAGGGAGTTTACAACTTAGTGCAAAGGGAGACTGAGCAAACAGGGAAAAATTCAAGTAGAGACTTGGGGGACACATGCTGTCTGATTAACAGGCAAGAAGAGTCAGTCCTGTCCTTTGCTTTTAACATGTAATCTTGAAGACATGCATTACTCCTTCTGACTACCCTTGAACATGTTTGTCTCCAAAGCTGAAGGGCTCCTCAGGATTATAGCAGCTCTGCCAAGTCCCCCAGAAAGGGTTATCAACACCAAGCCATCTGATGCTTCAAACTCGTCCAGAAGGGCTCCCATTTGGACACTAGTAAAACCTGAAGTAATTATTATAATCCTGTTTTGGGGAGGGGAAACAAATGGCTGTGCACGTGTCCTCTAGTTTTTAATCAGGGTGAACCAAAGAAACACTCAAATCACATTTCTGCTTGCACTGTCCAGTTATCAAGTATCTGCTGTTCCCCATCATGTGCTTAACTAACAGAAGCACTAGGGCCAGGTCCCTGCAAGGGACAGTCACCCTGACCACAACAGGTACACAGGAGCTATCAGCTTATCACAGCTGAAAATTTAGCAGCTCCACGTCAATCTTTTCCTTTAGTACTTTGTTTTTCAGTGGGCCTGTCAATTCTTTTGCCCTCATTTACACAGAACATCACTGCTGCAAAAGCTACAAACACACCATAATATCCATAGTCTTAACATCTGACCCACAGCAACATGCTTGCTATCATCTTAATGCTTATCTGATAAACTAATTCTTTATGGAAGCGATTATGTTCCATCTATATTGCGCTGTGTTAACACACTCTGAAGGGCTAGAGCGCTCTGTCTCCCTCCTCCCTCAAGAAGTCATTCTAAATATAAAAAGAAACTGGATATTAGCTAGCTCAGCAGGAGGAACCACTTGACATTCCTTAGTCAGGGGAGGCAGAAAGGGAGATTATTGTAAATTGGAGTGGACAATTGTGGAGTCGGTTCTTGCTGCGGTACAATCTGTTGTCTCCATGCAATAACTGGCATTCAAAATGCTCTAGCCCAAGGATACCCACTTGTTCATAAATCAGCGGTATGGTTGTGGGGACAGCCTACAGGGCTAGGCTTCCTCAAAGATTTATAACCTCCCCACTATCAAATGGTCTGTGAGTAGGCACAGCTAAGTAAGTACAATACCACGTTGTTTCCTTCGGTGCTGGAAAACCCTGTGAACCTCACACCAGTATACGTTCTTCGTGTCCTGACTTTAGAGGAAGTGTACAAAACTGCCATTGATCAACCAGCAGAGCTGTTAGGTCAAAGCTAATACTGGTCTTGTTTGTGCCAATCTTCTCCACTCTGTTGGTTTTATTTTGTTTATCTCCTGCACCTGGGTTAATTGCAGCAATTGAGTGATTTGGGTGTTGCAATGGGATGTAAATGAAGTAGGAAAAAAGGAAAGGGAAAGACCTGGGTGGGCTGCAGAGGCATTAGGAAAAGCAATACCAGATGCATCCTGCAGAAACCCATGTCAGCTGAAAAGTATAATATGCACTTTATAAAGCTAGTGGTGCAAATTCAATAGCAGGGTTCAGATTGGTGGTGTTTTTGCTGACTGCTCCAGGGAGTCCCAACAGTACCATCAGAATCCTGGATGTGCAGCACACACCCCACACTCGGGGCACTTGTGGGCTGGAGTTTGTCCTGTCCACCCCGCTGGTCTCTCCCACAGCACAAGCCTCAGGTCATTCTGTACTCCAAGATTAGGAATGATAAGATCAGCTGACAGATCTCCAGCTTAGGCATTTATTATCAAGCACAAGCAATGTTAACAGCTGCCCAGCTTTCTTGTCAGAATTGATACACAAGCACTCCCTCAATGCTGCTCAGACCAGCAAAAGGGCTGCTCTGAAAGTTCATCTGATGGAGGCAGGGCCTTTTACTGTCTTCATCCTTCTTTGAGAGGCTCTAGCTGCAGCAAGCAATAGCTTGCTTAAGCACGTGGATGGGTCTCTATTGCACCGTTGAGGCCAATGGCCTTTATTCCTAGATCTAAGAAATAAAAGCCAGATTTCCCTGTTACCTTGACCCATAGTTTTCCCCTCCTCCTGCAAACCTGACAATGTGAATCAACTGTTTTTCTCCCAGCATAATTGAGTCTCAGCACAGTGCAGAAGAAATTTCTTAGCTCTGCTGGTAGAGAAGCATTTTCAAAGATGTAAGATTTTTTTGACACCTGTCACTCCCAAGAGAGAGTCTCCAGTTGGCAAAGAGAGGTTACAAAGTAGAACAGGACCTAAAAGGGTCTTTCACTACCACAGATGTTGGCACCTTTCAGTGACAAACCTACCGTTTGAGCTCTTCTCTGAATAAAAGCCTCATTTTGTCCAGAGTCCATTTCCTGTTACTTTAGGATGATTTCTCACAATATTCATCACTAATCTGCTTTTACCATGAAAAGCCACTGACAGCCAGTCCGTGCTAACATCAGAGCTCCACCTATTCCTACCAGAACTACCAAGTAAACAGCATTATCGCTTCTGGAAATGTAGCTAGCCTTAGGTGACGTCTTCCATGTCACATAATCCTCTAGCCACTGGACCAGAGATGTAGCAATTGCTTGGAGTGCAACACTTGCTGCCATAGAAATAAATTACTTTCCTCACTTCACATTCAAAACAGTGCCCAAGCTATGCTCTACCATTAGCACCAATACAGCCTTTACCCTACAATTAGCTCTGAGCAACCACTTCAGAAAGGCAGAAAAGCAACACATGCTTTAGAAACATCAGTTGGTTCTCAGCACAAACATGGAAAGACCTGAAAGAGACCTTTGCCCACCATAAGGGCTTTAAGGGGAAGACACCTTTTCTGTTAAATGATCATCTCAGTGTAACTGAACGAAACTCACGACCTTATCAGGGTTGCAGCTTCAAGCATATGTTTTGGATGAAGTCAAAAAGTTTTTAACTTTTAAGCTCTTGTTAATAAAGCAGCATTTTAAGATTCCTGTTTTTAAAACGAGAAACTTTCGCTAATGGTTTTTAAAATGCACTGTAGTTAAAATCTCTTTATAAATATAATGGCTCACATTTCCAGGCTTGTTTTGAGAAATCCACACACACAGAGCCCCAGAATCCTTGTGTGCTAACTCTTACTTTCATGTCAGGTTAACATAGTCTTCTCTTTTCACTTAGCACTTACAATAAGATGTGGACAGATGCCCAGAAAGACCTCGACATCCAGCTCCAAAGAGAAAGAGAAGAGTTCCTCCAGCCAGACAAGGACCGTGTGGAAGCGTTCAAGATGTTAGCTGCTTCCTACATCAAATACATGCAAATCTTCCGTAACTTGGAGACGGCCCACGACCGACTCATTCACCGGCAGAAACGGATGGTGATTCGGCAAGTGCTAGATGGCGTGATTGGCCGGATCCTGGAAATAAAAAAAGAGATGGTGGAGCTGGAGAACTCGGAGTTTCATTACATTGATAATATCCTGGAAGATCTAAAACTTCTCCCGGTAGGTCTACCTCTATTATGAGCAAATTCATAGGAACTTTGCCTATCCTGTATTTTAAGGGCTGTCACATTTACCATTTACTTGCAGTCTGTAAAGTTCCACCAAGTGATTTAGCTTCTTGCACGGTCACTAGTGTAGTGGATGATCAGTAATTACAGTATTTTTTATTACAGATCAGTGTATATTTGATCTATGATGAGTATTATATATTAGAGCAAGATTTTAAAAGCTGATCTGCTTGATCCATATGTTGCATTTCTGCATCTCCATAGCAGCACAGGCTCTGTGGATCTTTCACTTGTACATGTCCTAACATGAAGTCATATTAGCTTAGCTTCACTATTAATGACAGTGGCTTGACTCTGCCCAATTTTAGTGTGGGATTAGATAGAGGATGGACAACTGATAACCAAGGTACAGTCCACTTCAGTCTGCCCTTTGCGTCACTGTGAATCAGCCTGGCCCCAGGCCTCTTCCAGAGATTACAGGTAATACTAAAAGTTGCATTGTCTGGTCTACTAGTTCATAGTACAATGAACTACTAAAATGAGAAATCTGAGACAAGTCTTGTATTGTAAAGGAGGCAGGAGCCTGGACCATATTCAGCATCCAGGGTTCAGGACTGCCTGATGTAAAAGCAGCCCCCTGACAGACAGCCCACTAAACCAGATGAATATGACAATAAGGCAAAGTCTTGAAGCTGTGCTCTAAAAGCAGTATAAAAAAATCAGCTGCAAAGAGGTGGTTGCTTCTCTCGCAGACAGCTCCACCTATTGTCAAATTCACGTACCACTGCTTTTCTAAAGAAAAAGCTGGAGCTTAAATTACTGCTTTTTTCAGGATCCCAGTTATAAGGTGAGATAAATTGCCTTATAACATTATTTTGAGATTTTCAAACGTTTCTATTTGTGATTACACGTCGATTTCACTGTGCAAATTTAGGATAGTAATTGCCATAGATTTTCACCAGCTCTTTACCTTCTATATTAATTGCAGCAGAGAACTATTTTAAACTATGAGAAGGCATACTAGAGAGTATAAACACATATCCGGGGAAATTGAGCCTTCAAATCATATTTTGAAACCGTTAAGCACTGCTGTTTTCATGACTTCTCAGTAAATCCACCTACAGCAAAAAAATTTGGCAAGTCTGAAAGGTCACGCTTGACATCTATTAAAAAACAAGCATAAATTCAAATTCCTGCACCACACCTTAATTGTAAGAAGGCATGACATACCTACCTACTAAAAAAAAAAAAAAAAAAGGGGGCACTGAAAAGATTTTAGAGTTTTTCAAAGCAAACATTATTTTCCGTAGTAGATAGGAATACAGATTTATGGGGTTTTAAATAATCACATATTCTTGGTTACAAAACAAAATTACTGGCCAGTGCTTGACAAGTAACTTCTGTTTCTTAAAGTATGTGCTCAGAAAGGATACCTCTAGTCCTTCCTTTTACTGTATTATCATGGGCTAAAATCCAGCATGATTGTAGGCAGATAACTCAACAGAGTAGTCTCATTTTATACCTTATACAATGATATTGCATACTTTTTACTATGTCACTGTAAGGCCAAGCTTCATCTTTCTTGAGTTCTGTGCCTCATGTTTTTGTATGGTTGCCTTCCAACACTCAGTCATTACGTTTCCTGGGGTAATTGTAAAGGTATTTGGATACACAAATTCCATGTAGAGACAGGAGTGGCTAAAAAGCTGCAGATTTGACTTCAGGATAAACATCACAAGCCTAACTTTTCAATGCTGGGCCCCAAAAAGAGATTATGAAGAGAAGCAAGCTCCCTACTCCCCACCCCTCCAGCCCCAGTATTACGGCTTTGATCTCGTCTTTACAGTCAGTAAAAGTTGCAATCTAGAACCACTTGTAATTAAATCCCAGGTTAGATGTCAGAGATACTCATCAGCCCTACACTGACTTACGCTGCTACCTGACAGTGTACAAGTCCTCTTATCCTATGTGAGGGTGTCCAGACAAACCGCTTGATTCCTTATACCTAAAGACAGCCAGATTTGTAATCTATCATAGAGTGATTTGCACAATGTATAATCATTTCCATCAACAATCAAGGATGTTGGAGGGTGAAAACAGGAGCTTAACAAGACAAATATTTAGAAACTTTAGCAGACCAGACCTCTACGTTGATAAAATCAACAGGGGTAAACAGTCCTACTTGGAAGCTTTCTTACGCTGCCATAATAGGGATGTCCTGGTCTGCACAGTACGCAACTGAGGGAATTAGTAATGAAATCTTTAAGTTGGCAGTTCACAAGGGCTGTTTTCATTGGCCACAGCCTTCCCTGCAAAGTCTTGCTCTAGGAATTGGAAGGCCTTAGAGCTCACAAGCACCGTATTTACCATGTGCCTGTGTCAAGGCAGGAGCAGTGCTTGTTCTTTACAGCCAGCACTTTTCTCCTCTGTATCTGTCCACACCAAAGCTGGCATTGAGGCTGCAAAGGATCAAGTCAAAGGTCTCCCTGAGCAGGTCAAAACTCACCAGTTTCCATAGCAGACAGAACAGAGAGCGCTGACCGTGAGTGCAGCATCAAGTCTTGTACCTGTCTTAAGCTCCTTGGGCAAAAGGACAAAGTACCCACATACACCTAGGGACAAATTATTGCATAACTTGACTGTGCAACTCCTCATGAGTAGTGTGACAGGGTAACTCCTGCCTGTCTCCCCCATGCCTCCTTCTATCCTTCTGGGTAAATCATTTGCTTGAGAAAATATTCTAGATGTTCCTTAAACAGTATATAGGGAATACGGCACCAGTATGAAGACACATTCCCCATCCCACCCACCCCAAAATATACTTGCCAGTAAATATTCTTGGAGAATTATTTTGTCTTCAATATGATACAAAGAGCAGGTTATGTCACTCTGCAGCTTCTTAACTTTTGGGGTGGTTTTTTGTGTGCCTGTGTCTTTTCCATTTCTCAACAAGAGTGAAATCATACAGGAGAAGAATCAGTAGAAATGTGAATCAGTTACATTTTTTTAATGATAGAAACGAGTGAAGGCAGCCACTTCTAATCACACCTCATTTTGAGAAGTGACTGAGATATCACAGACAGTGACAGTTTGTCTACAGGTGAAAATAACTGTAGACGAACAGAATTGTGCTTTGGTTCTGTGTAATGGTTTAAAAAAAAAAAAAAGAAAGAGAACAGATCTGTTTTTCATTTTGATTAAAAAAAAGAGGCAGGATGATCATACAACCCAAGGTATTCAATTAGGTAGAAATCATGTTTAAGTTTCCAGCAACTCTACCAAATATTTTAACAGTTTAATAATATAATTGAGCCATTATAAAAAGAAAGATTTCTGGGCTCCCATGGTTCAGAAACTGGGTTGATTTATTTGTTTTTGTTGAATTAGGTCTTAAAGTAATTGCAAAGTAACAGCTCAGCAGCTGTTACAGAGGTCAAATTCCTCAAAACTCCAAAATATTCAACAATCTCAGTCCAATTTAATTGCTTTGTAAAGGTGTTCAATTAGTAAGCAATGTGATTTTAGTGCCGTTCTAAAAAGCATCTCATGACTATTTCTTCTTCTAGGAAGACATAGAAGTACCTATTCCAAGGTATTTCATTAAAGAAAAGCTGGAAGTCCTGCAGCAGAGGGAGAAAATCCTTGATCAGATTTTGCTTGATGCTGGATTGCAAACACAGGTAACTACACCACATACCTACATAATAACATGCTTAACTTTTTTAGTTTATAGCCACACATGTCTGAACACGAGCCACTGAAGTGAAAAGAACTTTCATAGCAGTTAGGAAGTAAAACTCTGTCTACGGATAAGGCACAAATAGAAAGTAACATTAAATTTTCCTGTCTAACAATATCCAGTCACATCTTGAGTCTGGTTAAGACTGAAATGAATCAACTCTGCTTTATGTGTGTGAGAGTGTCAGAGAAAGGGCAGCACTTTAGCCAAATTTAGTAGGTGCTTTATTTGTCTAGCTAACTCTCATCACATAATTAGTCTTACTGAAATCAAGTTGGGCTTAAGTTTTACTGAACCAGGATTCCTAACCAGAATGGGCAAAACTCAGAGTTCAGGTCAGCACAACTGTTAGCATTCAGTTGTTTATAACCTCTGAACAATGACTGCAGTCTCTTCTGTACAGCTATAGAGCTGCAGCTGCTAGGAGGAGTAGAAAATTGAGTTTTGGCAGAGCAAGAGTCATTACAGAGAAGTACATGAGCACTCCAGTGAAGACTGTTCTGGATTTGATATACTTTTGACCTTTTGGAAATGGCACATTGCCTACAAGCAGTCGTTGCTAACCCCTTGAAATAAACAACTGTGCCTACATGTCTGGATGACTTAGATTCATAGATGTTATAGCCATAAGAGACAGTCCCGACCAGACCACTTAGTCAAACTGCTGCACTGCCCCAACCATTGAATTCTCCACCAGTAATTATGCTGGTAGGGGAAGTCTGTGCACCAGACAGAGGCAGTCTGCAGAGACAGAGCGCAGGCTCTCTGCTCAGTTACTTTAATGGGCAGTTGCAGTCCTCTTGGCCTCCACAGTAAATCTCTGGGTAAATTCTCTGCTCTTCTTAGTAGTCCGATGTTGGTCTGTGCAGATCCTCTGTTTCAGCATATTACATCTTGAAGCCTTTTTGTATCCCAGAGTTCTGCTGTCACCCCTTTTCAGCATGGCATCCATTACAGATGAGACTATCTGGTGTGCAGCCAGCTCACCTGGGAGCACTGGGCTCTTGCACTTCAGGCTCTGGCAGGGTCCAGGTCTCCCTTGCCAGGATACCACAAGAGAGGCACAGGATTCAATAAACATGAATAAAATAATCACACAGTATGAATCCAGTGCCCTGTGCTGCACTTCCAGTTCAATCACCACTGGGATTGCTAGAGGGTTGTCAGCAGTTCTGTATGCATCATAGCAAGCCACGTACACTCAGGAAGTCTCAACTGTTGTGTAGACCACTGTATTCTTCAGTGTCCATGGCAGTGTTACAAGCAGTGTAACATAAATCAAAAACAACAGAGTTCATAAGAGGAGTCTGCTCTGCAGATCATTTGTCCTTCTATGTAATTTTGTTGTATAAAGCCCTGCTGAAAGTGTAGTATAGTGAGCTCCACACAATATATATAGAAGCATTAAATGTAAACTGTCTCCAATCAGGGGATTAACGTCAAGAAAGGACAATAATTCAGTTTTTCCATGGGGACCATGAGGGTTTAACAAGAGTTCTCAGGAGTGAGAAGGGGAAGTCCCTCTCTCCAGCTGCACTGTTCTGATACATTTTTCCTTAGGCGTTTTCTACTTGGGCTGGGCTTACCAGGCCTGGGCTGGCTCAGAACTGCCTGTCCTTCCATTCAGCAAGAGAGCTGGAGTCCCTGCAGCACATCCAGAAACCCATGCCTTCAGAAAAGTAAAAGGAAGACATTCCATAGCCTAAGAAATTCCTATGGTTCTTTAGGTTTTTTTTTCTCAAATGGATAGTCCAGTGGGATGCATAAGCCATATAGAGCTGTTCTTGCTTCTCATTATAGCATCAGGCTTTCCTTGTCACACATCAACACATCAGGTTCTCCTAAACGTCCTCAGAAAAACACATCTCTCAAGATACCAAACTTACAAGATATTGCAAGATAGCACTGAGACAGGAGTCTCTACTGTTTGTGACAGGGATTTTTTTGTCTTCAGAAGTTTCTGCAAGAAGTTCATTCATTGTTTCATTTGCTAACTGAGATAGGCAATTAACAAAACACATAACTAATACTTTGTTTTGTCCATTCCTTTTTGGCTGTGCTGTTGAAGAAACCCGTCAAGGTCATGACATTTGAAGAAGCCATTAAAATGATCCAGGTTGCAGAACGGGCTCGTCAAGGCCGTTGTCGAGCAGCATTCATGAAGCAAATTTACCTTGAAGAGAAGAGAGAAAGACAAACTAAACTTCAGGTCCAGATGGGTCCGAGTCCAGATGCTGCTGCCACTTGCATTCAAAAGGTGACACCTCTGATTTAACAACAGTTCTGGCAGAACCCAATGACAATGTTTTGTTCAGAAGAACAGCAGTAGACAGAAGTGCAGCTCGTAGGATGGGAAGCATTCTGAAATTACAGCTTTCAGGATGTCTAGCAAGGTGACATACATCGTTTAAACCACTTACCAAAATGAGACAGGACCCTAGATGTGAGATCAATGGAAACAGTCCTGCACTGGCAATGCTGGATGACTTTATAACCTCCATGTTTTTCCATTCTGATTTTTATGACCTCAGTTGCTCTTTCTGGCATCCCCTTGGAATCCAGTGAATTTCAGAGAATTCATGCCTTTTCCTGTGATGTCTAGGGAAATAGTTCATTCCATATCTTGAAAAGATGACAAAGGGAGATCACTGCTAAATTCCAGAAAAAGTCCTTGCACATGAATAATTCAGACAATTCAGCCTGATGAGAACAGGAGCTCAGTCTAAATCTTAAGTCTAAACACTTTTTGAAACCCTAATGTTGTTGTATTTAAAAGCTAGATATACCAGTGTGAGGGGATAACAAACCTCAGAATTTTTTTAAAAAAAAAAAAAAAAAAAAAGCAGATGGCAACCTGTTAAAGAGTAATAGTTTCAATTGTATATTGTGCCTTTCCTTCCTCTATTTGTTTTTTCCTGTGTCTGCCAGAGTAAAGGAAGCTGTAACAAGGCCCATTTATCTCATTAGAGTTTTGTTTACAATTCAGGTTTGGCGTGGATATATCCAGCGCAAGAAAACAGAGAAAATGAGAGGAGAGGAAATGATATTTCTGGGGATGGTAAGTAGTGCTGGCTGGAGAATATAAAATGCCACAGTCCGTTTGTTCTTCAGACTTTTGTAATTTAGCAGAAGATGAGAAATTAATTTCTAAGATTCTTCCTATTTTAAAAGGAGTCTCTAAGGAGTACAGAGCTAAACTGGAATGATAGATAGCACAGAAGTAGCACTATTTGTCTTATGCTGCACGCTTTTGTGCTATGTATACATAGTCCGATGTATATGGCAGATGTGGAAACAGGCGGTGTAGAATTTGCCCCAGGTTCTAGGGAATTGCATGACAGAGCATGACAGAGGAAGGAAATTTTATTAATCGATTTTTAATTCATAATTCCAAGACATTTGAGCTGTCTTATTCCTGGAGCAGAATTAAAGCAGCAAAGTCTCCTGTCCCAACCCTTTGCAAACCACTGCATGTGTGTGTCAAGAGCAAGGAAAAGGGACATTAGAACTGCCATATTAATATGTCAATATTTCCACATAGAAATAATCCAAATATTCCTCACATCATACTGCAAAAGAAAAAAAAATGAAAGCACCCTTTCCAGAAGGAACCTCTTCTCCCACAATTAGAGAAGGTACATCTGCTCCCACCAACATCTTCCTTCCTAGCAAGTACTTGAGAAAAAGTATAAACTCTTTAGAGTTGATATTTTCTTTGGCCACCACCAACTCTTTGGGTGCCTTCATTAGGTACTAACAGGTGTCAAGTCTCACAGCTCTCTTCAACTCCAGCTACAGTAGCACAGCCCTTGTACCAAGTTCTAGTAAAGCTGCTTCAGAGCACCACATTACAGAAACATTCATCATTGCTCTATGTTTGGTAGGTTTATTTATACCTCTATGTTCTACAGTTCTTATAAGATTAATTTATAAATTAATCATTTAATTTTGAATTAAAACATGCTTTCTGCTTCTCCCAGACAATTTGGATGATTTTCTTGCCCAGCAATGAATGGAATTGCCCTTAGCTGCATTATAGGTTTATGAAAACTAATTGTGCTGGTAGCACATCTAACAAACATGTATCATCAGTTAAGAATGACTTTAAAATCTTATCTTTAGAAAGTAACACGTACATTTACCTAAGCTTTGCCATGTTAAATACAGTTTATGGATTTAAAAAACACGTTATGGATTATTGCCTTTAATATCTGCTGGTCATTAACAGTAAGTGTGGCCCGCATAGCTAAACAGAGCTTTGGGTGCCAATTCCACCTCTGTTTAAGACAAAGAAAATTTCCAGAGATTTTAAATTAGTGCAGCCCTAAAATGATGAATATTTGGGATGTACTGAAGATGAATTAGAAATTACACCTTTTGCAAAACAAGGGATCATATCCTATCAAATCTCATGACAGTTTCTGTCGAGTCTTAAAACTAGAGTCTTAAGAAGGAAATCTTGAAGTCTGGTATCAGTTATTGGAGGGTTCACAGCAAAACACTCTTTTCATGGTGGCCAATGGTAGGAGTAGCTGATAACTAGGATGTAAATAGCCTAGTTTATGGGGAGGAAATCTATATGATCATAGGGATGAAGGGAATTAAAACCAAACACATAACAGCATATTCATTTCCTGACCTCCATTTAGGAGCAAGAGAATTGATGTTTGCAACTCTGCACTCAGACTCATTACTCTTTATCAAGTATATAATCAAAGTATGTAGGGAAAAAATTGATACCTCTAAATAATAAAAAAAAAATCTGTTCATCTTTCTAGTGTTTTTATATTCCCCATTTGCATTTCCCTTTTACTTTTCATGCTGCATTCCCTTCCATGGTCTCCAAAGGAAGTGAGTGGCAAGCAGACATTGGTTCACACTGATAGATAGGCAGTGAGCTCCAAAGGTCAAGTCCCTTTGATGTATGATCATGTCAGCCCTCTAAAAAATGACCACAGATCTTCATGTGTAAATATGTTGAATTTGCTTTTCTAATGCTGCACGACTTAGATAAATTAGAAGACCTAGCCATCCATTACTCCAAGTCCATCCCAAAGGAGACTTGACTTTTACTGCAATAAATATAATTTCTCTTGTAATTATAGTTGTTTTAAAAATGTCTATGTTACTTGCTTATAAAGACTGCTTTGCAAAAAGAGCTAGTCCATTTGAAGTTCTGAATAATGATTTTTGGAAAAATTCAATTGTGTTGATCTAAAAAAATACAGAAATATGCGCAAAGAGCAAGAATTGTCCAGTCTTTTACTGAATTCAGTATTATTTTCTTTACCATCTACTTGCTTCAGAAAAATTTATGTATCTTTTCTGGAATTCAATTCTATTTCATCTTTTTCTTGATGACGGAGTAGAAGCCTATGTTCCAGAGATTTTTCTTGGCTCAAAAATAAAGCCTCATTATTATTATTATTTATTAAAGTTTAATTGCAGAAACAGCATGATTCCCTCAGCACATGTTTTTCTAAATGTCCGATAAATCACAATTTGCAATACCGGTTTAATTTGTAAAGAGAAGCAAGCCTCACTAAGAGCACATATATCTTGATAACTGTATCCTGACCTGTTTTCCTGATCATCCTCACATTGCTGCCACAATGCTGTTTACTAGAAGCTCCACCATGACAAGCATAACGAATGTTCTAGGCATAGATCTGTGTTTAAGCCACACCGACCACACTGTTGTTGCAAGAAAACACATTAAATTGTCTTGAAAACATGCATGTGCGGCCCAAACAAACCTGCATTTCCTTGCTCTGACTGTTTCACTGTTACAACCCAATTATAACGTACCATTTTTTTCAGTTTTTAAACTGGTGCCTGCTTCCACTTGTCTAATTCTGGCATTTATAAATTCCCTGTCATTAAACACCCCAGTGAGAGGTTTCTGTGACTGTTTCATTTTGCTGCAGTGCAAACTAGCTATCAGCCTAGTGTAACTGGATGTGTGAACTGGTTTTTGGCAACTGCTTTGTCTCAGGGTGGTACAAAACAGCCCAAGCCTAATAATGGATCTACACTCAGTGCTCTCCCCAACAGACTTTCCTAACAGAGTAGACCCTGCAGGAAGTTATACTTACAATCTCAGAACACAGGCTACTGGAAAGAGGAAAAAGCTGCTTTTAACATGAAATGTTAGGATAAACAGTTTGCAATCAAAGAGTAGGAAGAGTAGGAGAAGCCTAGGAACAAGGAATACAAAAAGGCAAGACAAAATCTATCCCAATTTAGGGGCTCAGCCTACTGTTGCAACTTCGAAGCGGGAGTACTCCGAAGTCCTGGACATCCCCTTGTTCATGTTTTCACTCAACAAGCACAAGTAATCAATCCCATTGGAGCCAAGTGCTTTACATGCTTTAACAATTTATAGGACTGAGCCCTGTGTGCTTTGGACACGCACACATGTAAACGCCTTCTTGTCTCACGGGCACATCTGTTGATTTACAGTTACACAGCTCTCACACTGCTCTATTCTGTAATTTCAGCCATTACCGAAGAGTTAGGGGCATAACACATGCTGATCTATGATTTTCTCACATAGTATTTCAAATGTTCTTCCTTCCTCTATATCCTTTTCACATGGAAGGATCTATGTGGTCTTAAACTGTTCTCTCTTTCTTACCTCTTTTAAACATACCCTAATTTAGGCATGTTGTCTTGGATAATGCTTTTATTTATATCTGAGAAAACAGTCTGCCAAACATTCCTTGTTCTTTGAATTCCTGATAAATATAATTCATTTCATCCAGTCAGAAAAAAAATTAGCATTTCCCAGAATAGCCTTCTGTGTAAATATTATAGACTATAGCTAAATAAATATTATATGGGATTTAACAAACTGCAAACTCCATAAGTAAGTGAAATTTAAAATATTTCTCAAGCTCTTGAAAGTGGGCAGTTACAGTAGTGGTACACACCAGGCCTGTTTTTATTGAGCATAACGTTAAAATGACTTTTGTTTCACTTGCAACCTATATAGCATTTAGATTTCAGCACAAAGTTATATGTTATTTCACCAGGCATACATATACATCTAAACAGTGATAACTAATCTGGCATGTTTTCAAGAGAAATTTTAAACCTGCTTATTTTTGAAATAGACGCTTGGAAGCAAGAAGCCCACTAAATAATTTGGCTTGCATTGGCTGAAGTCACACTAACAATGAAATCGCTGCCTTTCAGAGTCCAAAACATACTTGCCATTTTTAGTAGAAGTTTGACAGCATGCCCAGGTATAATATTGGAAATAAACATAGCCAAACTTATATAAAACTTAGATGGTCATGGATATAAGTGTTTTCTCCAGTTTAAATTTTCTTTCATCTTATTAAAAAGTGCTGCATGTCAATATTTTTATATATATGATATAAATCTATAAAACAGCCATTTTCAATATTTTTCTAACAAGGCCTCTTACTATAAATGCTTTATTTGAATGCATATGACAATTACTTTAATTGGCAAAGCTATTGAAGTGAATCATATAGTAGGGAAGCTTTAATGAATGCAATATATTTTGCTTAGTTGTTCCTTTTTTGTGCCTAATTTAGGAATTCAGCCATATAATTGATGTGGCTATCACCATTTGTGTACCATGGAACCTACATGAATACAACCTTCGTAAGACAAGAGACTTCTTTAAAATACATTCTTCCTGCACCCAAACAAAATACATTGAGGAAATGAGAAAGCAAGGACCATAGCTAACTCCTATATTAAGCTTTTAAAGATATTTTGGATCACAGTTTAAAATTCAGCAGAATAATAGTCATAAGTAAAGAACAGAACCCCAATTGCTTAGGTGGTAAATTCATTTAGTCTACCAGTAAGGAGTTACTTGCCTGTGTAGTCTAAACGTAAAAAGATCTCACTTTCACTACCAGGGAAAAAATAAGAGACCATTAAAAATACTTACTTTGCTTAGAAAATAAAGTCCTCTAGAGAAGCAAACTATACTCCTGAAAATAAGCAATCTACAGCAAAGTGCTACACAACTAGTACGTCTATCAAAACACTACAATTGCAGACAATGCTGTCTATAGC